AAAGCGGTAATCTCCAGTTTTTGAATTCATTTTATTGTAGATTTTCGCATTTATGATGGAGGTCTATAACTGTTTCATTATTTTTTTTTTTGATTAAAATTTGGGTATCTTAATTTCACTATTTCAAATCTCATGATTTTTGTTTGATTTCACTCTGCATTTCTTTGTTGTTTTCCAAATAAATACCCGAATCTCGACGCATAAATTTTTAGCCTATATCATATTGTCCGACGTACTAACTCAAACAGCATGAGTACACATGAAACGATGGTCTGTTTCAGAAGGTCCTGGTATCGAGGTAATTACAACAATCACTCGGCTAGCGCACGTTACAGAAGCTGGCATTCGTTTGTTCAAGAGTCGAATGAAGAGCACTACTTCATCCCATGGTACCGTCGAAACACTCCCGGCGAAGTCCCACAGATCACTGCCAGAGACGATGAAGGGACAACTAACGAAGCTGAAAGAACCTCCACTTTAGTTAACGCAACTTCTAACGGAGTTCAGCAAACTTCTAATGAAGTTCAAATGACTTCTACAGAAGTTCAGACAAACTTAAGTGCTATCGGGAACAACATGATCGAGATTCACAATACTTCCGCTGAGGTTTGTAACACTTACACTAACTCACTGATTCCCTTCTCCATACGCCCTGCTCATGTTTCCAGTCCCTACCGCCAAGCGGGGTCGCAACGCCCTTGCAGTCAAAAACCTTGTCCTCGCCCCTCCAATATGACCCCGGAGTCCTAAACCACCATTCCTGGCCCTTACCCCTTCTTTCTCCTCCAACCCTCTATTTTCTCATCTCCATCTTAACGCTCCCTCCCCAACCCCTCCCCCGCCTTCCCCTTCCTAGCCATTGCAACTTCCGCCTTGAACCGGCAGAACCGAGCCGAGTTTTGGTGTTGCCCGGTAGTGCTTGCCAAGTGTTCTTCCCGGTAGTAAACCCCTGAATCTTAATCGAGAAAAGGCCCACTTCGATAGCATTATTTAACTTTCACAGAATAGCACGAATTTCAGGGAAACGGCAACTTCTTCGGCGAGCAGCAATCCCCCAGACAATTGCTTGCTCCAACAGCTGAACCCGAGGGCCAACCCCGGCAGTTCATCGAAATGGACGTACAAGGGGCAGTCAATTATAATCGTGTTGCTAATATTTTTGGTCATGAAATGGTAAATTTACAGTATTAATTGCATAACACCTTACAGTTGTCCCACGCCCTAGGAGCCCAACGCGCTTGAAAAATCTTGGGGGATCAGCTCATAGTATCTTGGGGGACATTTCTTTCCCTCACAGTGAACCAGTATTGCTGATAAGTTTTAAATTCAGTTGCCTCAATGCTAATAATATTGCAGGCGAAAATGATTTGCAGTCGCCATCCGGCCATGGCCTCATCGAAGACTGTGCTCAACAAATTGGCTGACTTTATACTGAACGAACATATGGGCAACCGGGACAGCCAGCCCGCGAGCAACAGTCAGTCTGTCAGCCAAATACTGGAGGAATATAAGGATAACGGGAGCACTGCCATTCACATAGTCGCGAATGGCAGTCAGACTACGGCGGGTACCAATTCGGTTATCGAGAGTGAGCTAATCCGTATAGAGCCGGATTTGATTCCAGCGGCCATGAACCTGGAAGATGGACTGACTGAAGATACTGGTACTGGATCTGACACTGATGGCGAGGAAATAGACCTCATTCAGTTTTCGGATTCAGAATAGAAGGCTCACCACCAGTGAGCAACCTGAGAGCGAAATGTCGATCTAGTGTGCGTACGATGCGCTACTAATGGATTTTATTGGCCATATCCAAGCTTCTTATGCATATGTATTTTAACTAGCCTTTTTATTACGCTAAATAAATTTCTTATTTCTTTTGTTTTCGAGGTGCTCCACAAACACAAAAGTCGCCTGCTAAGATATAATGCTCTTCACTGAAGTAAGCACCACCACTAGTATTACACGCAGTCCGCACAGTAAGTGCTTAAAGTAACATAGCGGAAGTAACTGACATTATGAGATGTAAGCTAAATTCCCGGTGCTGGGCAGTTCAGTGCTATGGGCTCAGCCCCGATTTTGGTGACAAGCTGTTAAGCGACGAACTGTAACATTCGAAACAAAGGTGACTTGGCGCTTTGCAAAGTGGCGTGGTAAACTAACATAACGGTGTATTTAGACGCAAAATGTAGAACATGGAGATAACCCAGGCTCGAACGCACCAGGCGAACCCGTGCGATCATGCATTTTTGCATCGGACTTGAATTACTCAGGTCATCAACTACATGAGTGGTTGTCGCTTTACACCTACATTCTGCGGTCATTAGCATAAATCACCATAAATTTCGCATAAAGTAAATGTACAGTTTCCTTTAACGGCCGTTCTTTGAAAGTAACCTAACTGTTCAGTGAGAAATTTTTCCGCCAAAACTTTTAAGTGCCCGTACGTAAGAATCACGCATAAATCAAGGCTGAATTTGAAACAGTTAAGTTGTACTTGGACAGGGAACATTTCACTAAAATTTGAGCTTCCCAGCTTTTCTGGTTCTCCAGTTAGTAGTTTTTCCGCAGAAAACTTCATACGCCCTTACGTGAATACCACGCATAGCTTGTGGCTGAATTAGAAATATCTGAGTTGTACTTGGACCCACCCAAAATTTTAGCCTTCCAGCTTTTCTGGTTATCGAGTTAACAATTTTCCCGCCGAAACTTTCACATG